AAGGAGGTGTGTCTGATTGGTCTGATTGGTCCAGACTCTACAAGGTTATGAATTTGTGTTGGCAGGTGTTACTCGTGTTAACAAATAACAACATCAGCATCCTTCCAGAAGAAAGAGTGCAGATCAAATCTCATCTAAAATTACATTTGAATGACACCCATAGACACTAAAGGGGAAACAAGAAATTCGGATTAGTGCTTGACTGATGTGGGTTTTTTGATTATTCTTTGTCGGTATAATGTTTTCATGGTAAAAAGGGTGGTTTGATGTGGATTCTGGGTCATAGCTTAATAGAGAGACCTGCACTTAATGGCTAAAAGAGATCCAGAGATCACTCTCACTAAGACGCATTAAATATTTATTAAGCAGAAAGGCCAGGTCACCGATTTTGTTTGTACTGCACTCTGAAGTATGTTGACTATTATATTGATTATAGTCATCAAAGTCTTTTTTACAACAACAATTAAAGATCAAATGTGTTGAGAATCATTTCTGTATGTCTTTGTAATATCTGTGTCTGCAGTGGGAGAAGCTTCAGATGACCGCCAGTGAGAGGAGGAAGATCATGTGCTCAGTCACTTTTCACGTCATCGCCATCACATGTGTCGTCTGGTCGCTCTACGTCCTCATTGACCGCACAGCAGAGGAGATCAAACAAGGTTAGCCCTGCCCTGCCCTCCCCTTCCCCAGCCAGTTTAGCACTACCTCCACCTCTTCCTCATCCAGCTCCGTCTGCCTGCTTCCCTCCAGCCCCATGCCCCTCCGTACCATCCCACAGTCCTTACGTTCCCTCTGGATTGTTCTGTTGCTTATGGAACGATCACATTCCTCCTACTGACAGTGATGCATATCTTGATGTATTTATTACCTCCACATGGGTATATGGATATGGGTAATTTAAGATGGGTATCTAATTTTAAGGATGTGAGAGTTGGTACGCACAGTGTCCCGTCCTCAGACGACATGTTCAGACCGACCACAGTTCATTCACAGATACATATTACACACACAGCTGGAAAGCTATAATCTAATTGGCTGACTTTACACAACTTTTGATGTGCACTTCCACACTATACAGTATGCAAAGAGCAACACATTAACGATTTTATCAAATGTTATGCATCCCAAGAAAATTGTTCTTTGTAGATAAATTACTAAATTTAACAAAATGTGTATAGTGTCATTGGTTAAATAACATATGGGTCAAAGGACAGTGATGAGATGGCAGATGTAGTATGTTTCATTTTTATACTATGCATCTGTATAATAAAAAACACTTCTTTGGTATATACTCTACAAATATATTGGATTTTAGACATAAGCGCCTTAATTAAGAATTAAATAATAGGCACTTAGTAGTAGGTAAACTAAATTTCTTCAAGCAAAAATGTATTATTCGCTTTGTTTTCTGTGTTTGTGTATTGTTGTTATACAGTCTCAGATTTACCAGCTCCTAAAGGCCCAGACACGTTAAACTGACATCAAAGAAACCCGACTGTGGTGTCTTCTCATGTCGCCTTCTAAACCAGAAAAGTTGCGCTTGAGGACATTGCAAAAACTAAAGCCAACTAGCACATAATTATGCATCTGCGTGAAGGGAAATAACTCTCCATACCAGCAGATGGCAGTAGTCTGTGTTCTGTATTTAAAAAGGGAAACCAGAATAGCTAGGACTGCGGTTAAACAAATCCTAAACAAAGCCTTTTTTTAAGTTTATTGATTGCTTGCTTTCGTCACTACTGTTTTTCTTCTCGTGCACTGGTTCGCCAAGGTGAACAGCCAGTTAGAGTGATCTCTCTTACTCTGCAGCCGTTTTTTAACAAAGCCACTAATAGGGGACCGACTAGGAAAACACCACAGAAGCTATGCTGACAGACTCTCAGTGACAGCCCAACCTGTGTGTAGCATCCTTAACTGCAGCTGGCCACTTTACATGTCAGACAGATGGTCTCGTCCTATCTAAAGGTGTGGTCACATTAGTTAAACTTTGGTGAAGTTTCACAGGCAAAGAAGGTCCATTGCCAATAATATATTGATGCATAAGCCACTGCTTTCTCACTTCCAAACCAATCAGCTCTATCCACCTTATTTTTCCCATAAGAGCAGGCACGGCCATTTGTAAATTTGGCTTCCGGTGTCATTGGCTTCCAGCTATTTTTAGCTGTACAAAACAGCTCATTTTGCTGCTTGATGTTGGAAACTGGTGTCTTACCATATTATTTTAATGTATTTATCACACTGGTTTGTAGTGCAAACAGTTTTACCATTTACTGCACGTTGTTATTCTTCTTGTTATTTCCCCACAGCTGCTAATGAACCAAATGTCTTGCACATTCACAGAAAACAGCTTACTTCCGCATTGAAAAATAAGGTGGATATTGGCCAACAAAGTGAAAACCATGTTCAAAATTCAGCAAAACTGAATTCAATACGAAATTTCTCCCGGCTACATTTTTCGCCCCATGCATCCCTCGCGCAAAATTCTTAATCACGCTGACTCCTATTTAGATGACTGCATTTTGGCTATTGTACAAAGGTAAATATAACAGCATACTAAGTTAGTTGTTCTTGGCCGGAAAAAAGGCTTTTCATACCAAAAATGGTAATTATAATGATAACTATATTACTGTCCACGTCAACAGACGATAACGTACAGCATGTGCTGCAGTTTTGTCATCTGCCACTTTAAATGCTAATTTAAAAGCTCTTTAATTTCTGGTGGATTCTGATTGGCTGTCAATGTTTTTATTGTTCAAAAGCTGGATAAAAAAACGTTCTGAAAGTGATTCCAATGATATCGTTCTTCTGTGTCATTATTTTTATATTGGTGGTGTGGACCAGTGTTGTCAACATTATTTCAACAAAGGGGACCCTCAACGGAGGGAAAAACCACTGAAAAAAAACAAAAAACACTTATAGGCTAGTTTTGAATAGCAATTGGCTGGTTTTGTTTCACAGACCTGGCAACCCTGATGTGCATTTCCCTATTCTCACAGAATTCAAATGATTGTTAAAACTTTATCGTCCTTGGTGTGAATGGGCCTTAAGCTATGCAGGACTAGTACGCTAATGGTAGAGTTGATTTACTCACAGATCATCTCTCAAACTCCACCTAATCAATACCATTAGGGAGCTGTGGAGCGCAGGGACCGGATGCGTTTTGGAGAATATGACAGCAATGGATTTTATTTCCGTAACGGATTTGAGCTGGGGTGCAAGTGTGTGTGTGCTTGACTAAAACACACCATCCCTTTTACCACACTCTAGATGACTTTTAACACTGACCTGGACCTGTACGCTGATGGGTGTCTGACAGCAGGCGCTTTATGGATTTGCTCCTAACATTAAGAGCCCATTCACACGCGCCTCATTGTACAAGAACTGTAGCTTTGAAGGAGATCTTTGATCACTGTTACCATGGTTACACCATTGACTTTTCTTCATCTTGCATGGTAAGGCTTGAGCAGAGTCAGAGGCCTGTCAAGCTCAGTGTGTGTGTCCATGTGTCCATTCCTCATCTCACGCCAAATCGTTCCAGCAGCTATCTTAAGATATGATTTCCACCCACCTGCACCCCTGACCCTCCATCCCTTTCAGTGGCTTCATCTTTTGCCAATAGTGAAATAGTAACAAACTCTTTTTAACCATGCAGCGGGGAGAATACCAGGTAAACGCTTTTACATTTACCATTCTTTCCTCCTAACTATTTCCTCTAACTGTAATGATTTCTTTGAAGGTCCCTCTCTTCCTCCCCCGGCTACATTAGCCGTCTCTAGCATGACTGTTGCAACGTGAATAAAGGCAATAATGCTTCACAGCCAGAACGCGCTCTGAACGCAGTGTGCCCGGCTGCCCCATACTGTCGGTTGTGAATGTGCCGGACAAAGGCAATTTCAGGCTTGATGGCCACTTATCGCAGCCTGACTTTTTTTCTTAAATCTATTTTCTGGATATATTCAGGCACAAAAGATTAAAGAGAAAGCAACTGCAAAGGTGATTTGTGGAACAAATAGGCACGCGCTGCATTTTAATGGACTGTGGCGTGTTTTTATCGAATTCGAAAATGGTGTAAAACTGTATCGAACTGCTCTCCTGATATTGCTCATGTGTAGGTGTAATGAATGAGATGGACCCATCAAACCGGTCCTTTGTATATAATTAGGTTGATTGTATCATGCAAGATATTGATTAAAAAGGCCACTTTCATCATAAGAAAAGCACATAGGCTTGCAAAAATGCAAAAGACTGTCCTGTATGTGCAACACTAACCTCATTCTCTGCCCTTTGATAATGACGTCAGGTGGACTAAAGCTGCACCCCGGCCTGACTTACGGAGCCTCCGAAAGCAGTACAGTATTCCTTGTCCAAGGCCTTGTGCTTGAACAGACCGTAGCATTTAGAGACTTAGCACATGGCAATTCCCTCACACTTGATTCTTTGCTGACATTTCGAAAGCTCTGTTCCAAATAGGAAAGCAACTGTAAACAACTCAAAGGTTGGCTGAATTTAATACCAATAAAGATGGACAGAGACACACCTGAAATTTCTTTGCTCCTGGTCTCGCTTTCTCAGCCATTTCTAATGATTTTAGTCAAATGGTCAAGGGTGAAAATGCTGTATATGCATTCTGAAGCATAGCCCTGTGTCCATTGCTGGCTCTTTAGAAGCTTGGGTGGGATATCAGGACTCCAGTCGCCTGTCTTTGCATCCCCGCTCCTGTGTTTGCCTCGGTGTTGTGCTTGATGTAGATTTGAGATCTTGTGTTGTATTCCAGAAGCACTTCGTATGCATATAGATTTTATATTGTAATGTATGTAATATTGCTGCAGGGCAATGTATTATTGCAGTCTTGCTTTAGGATTACTGCATATGGGTCAATGACATGAGGCTCTTCTTTTGGTCCGGGTCCATTAATGTATTTAATAATAAACTGCAATTCATACATTCAAACACCTGTACAGTATATACCTCTTCTACGATGGAACAGTCCTAAAAAAGGAGGAAAATCCTTAAAACAATTGTCTTGAAAAGAAAACCTTAAGTGGTTTGTCTGTAGTTTTAAGTAGTTTCTTAGGGGGGGAAGAGTCAACAAAATGACTTTGCAGCTTATTACTTTTTGAAGAACTACCAAATCAAAGTTGTGTAATGTGATCCAACAAACACAATATG